ACACACACACACACACACACACACACACACACACACACACACACACTCACAACAAAGAGCTTGAGGATTGTGAGGCGTTTCTTTCTGAATCCGAATAAAGGGGTTTTGATTGGAATCACATTGTCCACCTTTACTTTGGCAGTTATTTGTTTGGAATTGTATGAACTGTAAATGTATTTACTTATAATTTGTAACAAACTACAGAGTTTGAGAAAAGATTTTCATAAGAATTCAGTTTCTTTCTAGGAAATTGTTAGGAGGACATGGGACTCAGACTATAGTGTTAGCTTATTATCTGAAAGTCACACATCCACAAAACACTGTTGGTACATTGGAAAAATTACCATAACAGTTGGTTATTGAATATAATAAGTGTGTCTTCATGTGTGTATGTTTCTATCTATTTCTATCATTAAATACAATTCTCTGTACTGGTCATTTTGATACAGATATTTACTCTTATGTCACACTGTTGAAGAATCACTGTCTGCAAAACATTAATTGTACATTATCAGTATTATCATTAACAGACTGTTTTGGTTGATACTCTCCATATATCTAAAAATATCTGTATCATGCACTTTACCATTTACGCAACTGATGTCACAGATTATTTGGTTCAATACATTTTGTGCTGCTATTCACTGCATGTACCTAAAACCCAGACAAACGGTACCATGTCTTTGAAAAAAAACCAAACTACCACAATGACGCTGACATTTTGAAATGACGCGTCTTCTAGAGGAGATTTCTAAATTATTTGTGATATTCACATGGGTGATATATTGCTGATGTACATATGTATATAAATGTGTAAATGTATTTATATATTTTTTGTCTTAATCTGTATATCTGTTGAATATATTTTCATAGATCCTAGATTGCCCTTGTATCCCCTTTGCTTTCATGTGTTTGAGATCTCTGAAGCTGTTGGTCTTTGTTCACTTGCATGGAGATATTCCAATATGATTAATACTTTATGGTAAATTTCGATGTACTTTTGGGATTAGAGTCAAATGCGTGTTTAGATGGCACTGGATATCCTAGATGAATGCATGCTAGTGCTAATGTAGGATATAAGAGATGAGAGTGTTTGCAGATGATGAATCCCCCAAACTACCCCAGATTGACCTCTTCCTATTCAAGAAACTTTTCTGCAGAATGGTTTAGTTTATGTTTATGTTTCAAATGTAATTTTAGAGATCTTTTTGCTACCTGAGCAGTAATAAAGTTGTCCTTGCTTAAGGTAACACAACCATTTTACTGTAGTAAGTCTTTTTTTGAACTACAAACTCACACATGCTTGCAGAAATCAGTTAATGAGTAATTGTATAGTTTTATCTATGTGTTGTACACAGGTCGAGTTAGGTTGTGGATGAAGAACCAAACGTAGTATTAATGAGTGTCGAAATACAACTGAATGTCCCTCAGAAATGTAACATTAGTAAAAAGTAAGAATTATGAGCTAAATACATGATGCACAATGAATGTGTCTTATACTACATAAAGTCTTTCAGCTCATCATGATCCGTTGTTCCCTCGTCCCTACATCCCTTCAGCCTCATTCCCTCGTCCCTTCATTCCTCATCCTTGTTCCCTTATTCGTTCATCCCTCATCCTTATCCTCATCCCTTCATCCTCGTTCCCTTATCCCTTCATCCCAGCATTGTCATTCCCTCATCCTTTCATCGCTCATCTCTTCATCCTCCTTCACTCATTTTTGTATCGTCCTATCCCTACGCATCCCTTCATCCCTACCCTTACCCCTTCATCCTCCAAGAAGGAGAGAATGGAGAGATGCCAGTAGGGATTACTGGCATCTCTTATTCAGCTTGGTGTATATCTTGTTCTTGGTACTTTTTTGGGTGGAATGATGCCCCCATTCTGAGTCTCCCTCTGCCTGGTCCCCAGTGCATCTACCCTGACGCCTTCACTCAGCTTCTATTTGTTGCTCCTTAAATCCAAGATATCAATTTTCATTCGAACCTTTAAACCACATATAGTTGGGGTGTGGTCCTTGTTTGTGAACTGATATTAAAATAATGCCCTCTGGCCTGCTTGGCTGTGGCTTGTACATTCAGGACAGTGTGTCTGTACAGACCTGGGTGCTAAACCCTCACATAAATTCAGCCATGCTGACACCGTGGTTCAGTCATCTGATAACCAGAAGAACAATTAGAAGAAGATTGGTGGTTCCATCCATGTTGTGTCTTTGGGTAAATTATGGAAATCTACATTAATGTCAGTCCATGTACCATTTACCATAACGCCTCCACCTGTCTGCCTGACTGCATTTAACAAACCTCTCAATAAAATACATTTAAACAAACTATAGCTGAGGAAATTAATTTTAAATCTGACTTTATGTTGGGGAGCTCAGGGCTTATCTCTAAGTTACATGATCCAAGTAAAATGTATGATAAATTCTGATGTGAGATCAGCAGATTGGAGCTTCACACCGTCATGTGAAAAATGTGAGATGTGATCACCATCTAGTGGTTGGGTACTGGTACAACAGAAAGAAGACAAAGTCAAAAGTGATTCTAGATCCAATGTTTATTAAGGTACAAAATATTCATGATATTGTTCAATGACAAATAGTAAGCAGGAATATTTCTGCTGGATGAAAATTATACTTTGAAACAATACACAATATTACAAACATGAAAAAACATCTGTGATAAATCCCTGCACAGATACATATAAATACTCAATTTGCTTAATCACAGAGAGACACTGCCAATAACATGGCAGTATGAGTCAATGCAGGCTGTGAACACTCCACCCACAGAGATACGCATGGTGAGATAGGTACAGGCTTTACTGTATACACAATAACACATGATATTAATACTTCTCAACTAGTTCCAACAGGTTTCCTTTAGCCGCATCACCTTTCACATCCCTCTCCACTCACTGAAACGTTTTAAATTCACAAGAAAGTT